CTCTCTCACATACACACACACACACACACACACACACACACACAAGCATGCACACACAAGTGTGTGCATGCATGCTAATTTTTTTTAAAAATCCAATTTCAGGAGAGGATTAGTTGGAACAACTAGACTGGGTGAACTAAAGGCTAGGACTAGGGAGGCCTGAATGAGACCCACATTCCAGAAAGAATGGAACCCTGTAGCTCCTGGCCCCCAGCTCTGCTTCATGCACCCCGAGGAGAGCCTGGCAAGGAGTATGGTGCAGCTGGGCTCCCCAGAGGCTGCATTCTTTATCCACTTTGATTCCATGGGAAAGTGACCGAAGTTCTCGGGTTCCAGGTCCTCATCTTCCAGAGATAATGTGTCCATCAACAAGTCTTCTTCTCCACACCGGAGCTGTAAAGTGAAGTGAGGTCTTGGAGATTCTCCCAGTTTTGTTTTTTTGTTTTATTTTGTTGTTGTTGTTGTTGTTGTTGTTGTTGTTTAGCACTCCAACACCAGGGTGACAAAGAGGTGGGGGATGCTGAGCAGGAGGCAGGGTTCCCACACCATCATTTCTGCTTCATGCAACATCTCACGTGCTCACACACCCCGCGCCAACCTGCTGACTGGGTCACCTTAGGCGAGTTTGTCGACTTGTCTGGACCTTTGTAGCTCCCCTATAAGAAAACTGCAGTAAATAAATAAAAATTAAAGAGAAGAAAACTGCAGTAACTCATCTCCAGCATTAGTGTGAGGGTTAACCGAGGGAGTGCATGAAATGCCTAGGTTGAGCCATGGTGTGAGTAGCTGCTCAGCCAGCGGTGGCTTTTCTGTGGTTCCCATCTGCCCAGTGCCCAGAGTTTGGACCCAGCCAGTGTGTGGAGCCTCCATCCCTGCACTCAACAGCTCCTGTCCTTGGCTAGACCTTCTTCTCTAGATACCAGAGCTGGTGCCCACCCAACAGGCTGCTGAGAGAGCCAAGCTCAGGCTCTATATGAGCATGGGATCATACCCTTCACCTTTGGGGAGGACACCTTGAAATCTGCCTAAACCCCCTTCCCTGCACCCCTAGTGGTGGGGCACTAGGTCTCGACAGGGGGTATATTAGTCAGCCTTCTCTCACTGGCGCAGAACAGCTGAGGTCACAGCTTCAAAAGAGAGGCTCCTCTTGGATTCAGAAGTCTCAGAAGCTGGCTGCACTGCTTCAAGGCTGAGGCGGCGAGTGCACCAGAGAAGGTTGGATGTGGTAATACCTTGCGTACAGACCTCCAGACCCCTATGGTTGGCTAGTGGCCAGTTCCATTATCTGACCTTCAGACAGGCTTTATTTGTACAATCAAGATATCACCACAGTTGGGGAGCAAATGGCTCATCTCATCATGCCTGAGAGGCAGAAAGAGAGAGAGGAGGCAGCTAGGCTAAATCTCCCCTTTAAGAGCACGCTATCAATGGCCTAACTTCCCTCCACTAAGCCCCTCCCCTCAAAGGTTCACACCCCACCCCACCCTGACATATACACACCACACTAGTACAGCTGGCTGACCACCAAGCCTTTAGCACATAGACCTTTGGGGGGCAGTCAAGATGCAGACAACAGAGGGAGAGGCAAGCTCCCTTCCCTCATCCTCCGAGACACTCGCAGCTCCCACACGGAATCCTGGGCCAGGGCCAGTCCAGGCCACAGGGAATTTGCCTGGGGTTGTATGGCCAGTGATCTGGTCCCAGGAATGTTAGACAATTAACTAGACCCCTCTGTCCCAATGCCTTCAGCAGCTCCCCAGGGCCTATAGTCAGCACCATCCTGCTGTGGCAAAGGGTGCTTTTCTGTCCCCTCTGCACCTTCCTGGTTCTCCTCCAGATTTTCCCCTCTCCTGTCCTCAGAACAGAAGCCCAAGCTCATACTGTTCCCTCATCCTCACACCTCCAAACATTTGGAGGGTGCTGTTGCATTCCCATCCATTGTATGAGGAAAAACACAATGCCACTTACTTCTCACACCTCAGAGCAAGAAATGGTTTCCGTTCCACACTGCTCTCGTGACAGACCTGGTCCTCACTCACAGGCACACACTCCCAGGCTCTGGACACACACATTTGCGCGTGTGCATACCCAGCCACACACGAATGCGCACTCTTAAGCCTCCCGCTCACTTGTTGACGAGAACAGGCCCACATGTTGTTCTTGGTCTACACCTCAGCTGTCAATCAGCATATGCTGTCCCTCATAAGTGGCTGGAGGTTGGTTACCCAGCCCAGACCATCGTGTTGTCTCTGAGGCTGCCTCTCAGTACCATTCTATCAGGTGCATGCAGTCTGCCTCCCAGGGAGTAACACGTCACGATAGGAAAGAGGTGTGCTTTGGAGTCAGATGGTATGAGCTCAAACTGACCTCTGATGAGAGTACTTGGGGCATCTCCACTTACCTGCAGCCTCAGTTTCATGATCTGTGAAAACTCGGCACGTGCCTCATAGCGCCTGCCACTGCGGTAAAAAAGAAAAGGGTTCAGCAACCAGCTACAGTCTCAGGTGGTGCGTCTTCTTGTCGGTCGTTTTCTGACATTAGCTGTGTGTGTGTGTGTGTGTGTGTGTGTGTGTGTGTGTGTGTGTGCGTTCACCATGGCATTCAGAGGACAACCACCTATGAGAGTTAGTTGTCTCCTTCTACCATGTGGGTCCCAGGAATCAAACTCAAGCACTGATCAAACAGAACACAGGAACCCTGCTTCCAGCTCTCCTATTTTCACCCAAGGACAGACACAGACATTCTCATACATACACTCATGCATACAAGTACAGACACACACACACACACACACACACACACACACACACACACATACATGTGATTCTTGAAATGTAAAAAGGAGGGAAAATCCGGCACATGCTATTGTGACACTCTTAGCTTAGTCTGGGAGACAGAGAAACAATCCAGGGGCTAGCTCAGGGAAGCAAGCGCAGAAACAGGAAGGCGTCAGTAATTCTGGAAAGAGGCGATAACTGGAGAGCCTTGAAGCAAGAGTAGAAACTGTCATCGAAGAAGAAACCAAAGGCTGGGGACAATGCTCAGTGGCGCTGGATTCCAGCTGCATTACCATGAAGGCAGAGAAGCAATGAAGGGCATGGCAAGTGTTAGGAAGAAGCCGGCAGTCAGAGACACGTGGCGAGCAGTCAGCGGTCTGTCTGGCCATTTGTCCTGCAGGCAGCAGAGGCCAGTGGAGAGGACCCAGTGCTGGTGTTCCCGGATGTTGCTGTTACTGTTATCACAGAGGGAAATTTGGGGTGTGGAGAGGAAATGACGGAGGCATCTCATGAGGAAGCCTTGATGCTGGGTTCTGACCCCTGGTGACTGGATATATTCTAACGCCTCCATGTGAAAGATTCTGACTCAAGTAACATTCATTTGGGAATGTCCTCAGTCTGGACACTGGTAAGCAAGCACCAGCAGCAGAAATTCGGTGAAAAGGGATGGGGTTTGGGTGGTAACTAACTCACAGAACTGTGAGGTCAAGGGCAGCTCGAGCATGCCCTGACCCAGTGTGGAAGGTCATCGGCTCTCAGCTCAGCTTCCCCCTGTGAACAGGCTTCATCCTCACCCTCTCCCCACAAGACCTGCAGCAGGCCCAAGCTTCTGTCTTACTGTCTTTTCATATCCAACAGAAAAGTGGCTCCCCGGCCTACTGCTCCAGCAAAAGTTTCAGGGTTAAGTTTCATTAACTTAATTAGGTCTTGGTTCTTCTACCTTGAAACCAATAGTCTTGAACCCAATGAAGAAACCAAAGCAAAGGGGAGGAGGTTGGTTCTGCCTCTTCCACATGGGCAGGAGTGGGGATCTCAAGGAAGAGTTAGAGGGCGGTTTCCAGGAGGAGACAATGAAAAGTAGAACAGCGGGTGTCATGATGACACCCGTCCCTCTGTTCTCTCTTGGAGCCCGGTTAACATCCTTTTGCTCCAGGTGTTGGGACTCACAGCAGAAATGGGCCAGGGGGCTATGAATGGGGTTGAGAATGTAAAGCTTTAGTGTCTCTGCAAACCCAGGATGGAGTCAGCACACTGTGGGAATCCCAGCATGGCCTGGATGATGGCCTAGTCTCCTGGATTTCTCACAGTTACACACGCTTGTCAAAATGCCTTGCAAAGCCTTATTTTGAAATAGAAGGTAGAAATCCATATGACAAGGGAAAGAAGAAAAGGGGCAATTTAAACGAAGCAAGAAAATAATAGGGGACATTTAAACAGGGTGGTACAAATGCAAAATACAGAGCAAGATGAAAGAAACAAATGAAAATCTTTCTCATTGGCCAATAGGTAAATTAACTAACTAAAAAATATGAAGAGCAAAGCACAGCCTCACACGTCTACAGTCCCAGCATTGGGGAGTGTGGATTGGGAGACAGAGGAGTGTGGCTTCGAGGCCTGTCTGGGCTACATGATGAGACCCTGTCTCAAAGATGGCTCAGCTGAGCTTTCTGTACAATCTTCAGAGCCATGTACGGTGGTTTGAAAGAAAATGGCCCCCCAAAGGGAATGGCTTTTCTGGAGTGGATGTGGCCTTGTTAGAGGAAGTGTGGAGAGTGTGAGAGTGGACTTTGAGGTCTCCTATGCTCAAGCTACACCCAGTGAAACAGTCTATTTCTTGTTGCCGTCTGATAAAGATGTAGCCATGTCTTCCTGCACTCCACCATGCTCACTGTCGTGATGATGATGGACTGAACCTCTGAAACTGTAAGCTAGTCACCCAATTAAATGTTTTCCTTTATACGGGTTGCCCTGGTCATGGCGCCTCTACACAGCAATAGAAACCCTAACTAAGACACCATGGAAAGTGAAAGGACAGAACTGACTCCATGAAGTTGTCCTCTGACAGCTACAAGCACACCATGCTACAAGCCTGGAATTTGCACACCCCACACGTCACACACACACCCATTAATGATAATAAGTAAGCTTTTAAAAGAAAGAAGGAGGAGGGCAAAGAAGATTGTCAGATTTGATTTTTTTAAAACAAATATTTTTATAATAAACAGATTAGCATATATGAAACAAAAATATTGACAGTATAAGGAAAACATGCATATTAAATACCATATACTAATACAAACAAAAAATCTAGCTAGCTTTATTAATATCATATAAAATAAACTTTGAGTAAAAGGTAATATAAAGAGAAATATGACTATCATATCCTGATGAGAGTTAATCTCCCAGAAAGATAATTTTAAACTTATATGTACCAAATGACCTCCCTCTAAAAACATGTAAAGTTGTCAGAAATACAAGGAGAAAATAACAAATAATTATAATATAAAATATATAATATATTGTCAACATTCAAAAATCGGGTATAGGAGAATCAATATATACATGTAATGTTTTGTAAACACAATAGAAAGCGAAATGAACTGATAAGTGCTTCTTCCCAACAAAAACAGAGCACGTTCCTCTCAAACATAAGAGGAACATGTAAAAGTTGGCTGTAGCATATGTCCTTAGTCCCATTGGCAGAGGCAGGTGTATCTCTGTGAGTTCAAGGCCAGCCAGTGCTATACAGCAAGATTCAAACTAGTCAGGACTACATATTGAGATCCTATCTTAAAAAAAAAAAAAAAAAGTTGAGTATGTACTAGAAATCCACTCATAGAGCAATACTCTAACTATGACAAAATCAAATAACAGCAAAAGAAACCTTTACTAACCTGCAAACAAATTCCCTAGTAGATTGTGGGTTGAAGGAAAACACCTCTAAGCTGTTAGGAGATGTATTTGAGTACACGGCAGTAAAACATGACCCCAAAGCACACAGAGTAGTCCTCGAGGCGGCCCTCAAAGGAAAACGCAGGTGAAAATGCTTAGAACATAAAACACAAGTTTGAAATTTAAGAACTAAACATCCAATTTGGAAAGTTAGAAGATCAAACACAACAAAGCAAATAACAACAAAGTAGACACAGGTAAAACAAAAGACAAAGCCTTAATCAAAAGAAGAGCAACAAACCCAAAAGTAGCTCTTTGGCGAATTCTGGCAAAACTTATCAAAATAAGCAAGTAAATGGCATAAAGAGTGGAGAAGGACATTTTCATAAATTTTCCTGAAATTAAGAATGATCATAACATTGGGACCAATTCCATGTCCACCAGAAGGGAAACAAAATCAGGTGGAGAAACTCAGCCAGCACCACACACAGATAGGAAGGAAAATCATTTGCCTTTGAAAGAAAATGGGAAAATAATATTGGATGCCATGAGTCACAAAAGGCATTTCCAGATGTGCTCGGGTAGGTTAAATACCAAGGGCAACATTTAAACTTATAGAAGAAAACATGGGATACTTTGATGACCTTGATATGTGAGAGGATTTCATAAACAAACCCAGAAAGGAAAATAGATTAAAATTAAGGAAAGCAGGGTAAGGGGTTGCTCAGTGGGTAAGAACACTAGCTGCACAAGCATGAGGACCTGAATTTGAATCCTCAGAACCCACATTAAAAAGCCAGGCATGGTCATGTGTACTTATAACCCCAGCATTGAGGGGTAGTGACAACTGGTTCTCCAGAACTTGCCAGCCAGCCTACCTACCCAAAAGGCTGTACTTCAAGTTCAGTGAGAGACCTGTCGCTGGGTAATGAGGCAAGAATAAAAAGTCAGCTGCAGAGAAAAACAATCATAAAACATGATACATCTACATAAAAATACATATGCAGAGCAAAATAGAAATATTTGCTGAAGGTACTGCTGAAGTTAGAATTCCTAATTTAAACGTTCTTTCAATCGTATATAGGTACTTCAAATAGAATCTGTTTGGATGATTGATGTATTTCATTCAAATGGATAATAACTGAATTGTGTAACAGAAAGATTTGCCCGAGGAGGGTTTATTTGAACTGTTCATTTGTGTATTTTTGTTATCTCTATGTTTTGACATTTCACTGTGAACATGCAATGTTTCCCAAGTGCATTATCTGGGTAATTAATTACTAGGCTCTATAGAGGACAAAAGCTGGTTACCCTCAGCCTAAGGTAGCCTCTGCAATAATTCAGCAAGCAGTGCTTTCGCAGAACCACTGGAATGTTCTTCCAAGGGCAGATACCTCCCTGCTAGCCTGGCCAAATATGTACATAGCAATAACCTCTAAAATGCCACAGGCACGACCTTACAGTCCAACTAGAGGTACAGTGTGCTAGGAGAGAGGGTCAGTGCCACCTGGGGCTCCTAGCAGCGGCTTGGCCAGAGTGGCCACACTTAGAAGGAGGCTGGGATTCATCTGTGTCTTTGTTCACAGAGCCTTGCAAAGTCAGACATCCACAGCCTCAGCCACCACGTGACAAGCAGAAGTGTGCAGGGAAGGAGAGCATTCTTCCCTGTCCTCTGTATGGAAGGAGGAGCCATGAACTTGATTACCCCACTGGATTGGCAGCAAAACTTTGGTGTTTTCCCGAGCTTCCCCAACTCATGTGAGACACGCATGAGATAGCTCTAGGCTCTA